CTCCTGGTGGCGGGCCTTCGAGATCGAGAAATCACACAGCAGCCGCGTGCTCTTTCCTTCCCAGTTTCTCCGTCTAGTTGCACCTGCACTGCCTTTCCTTTTTTTTCTTTCTTTTTTTATCTCTCTCTTTCCTTCTTCCTGTTGCGTTTCGATATGCCAACCACCAACCGGCCACCGCACTTGGGTCTTATGACGGCAGCTGTTATTGGTTCCTTGACACAAGCGAAACTGTCAGACCTAGGAACCGCATCTACTGCTGTTGGCACGAGCACTTCCCGTTGCCTGAGATGCCTCCGTGGGTAGCATGTGCCACGTGGGAGCGACTTTTAGAATAGGGTGTTGACCCATCACTTGCTGTCGCTGCGTAGGCCAACACTCCGTGCTTCACATTAATACTAGGAGCCATTGGCGAATAGGATGGTGGTTGTCCCGAGATCTTTTGGTGCTGTGAATCTTTCAGGACAATATGGCTGACAACGCTGGTAAACAAAACGGGTTCCAATCTGATGCTAAAATACATTTCCTCTCCGAGACACAATAAAAGGAGCAGTGGCCAATGAAACGAAATATTTGCCGCTGCTACAGCCCTTTTTTATTGTCACTAAAATCGGTTCGTCTATTTCTTGAATCAGCCACCAACATCCATGAGGATTCACTTGACTGCAAAAGATGAAAGCTACTTTTTTTCTTTCTTTTTTTTTATCGTGGGAGGCCATTCTTGCAAGTAATCTCGTTAGAAGCTTCAAATCCATCTCTCCTCGTTTTCCTTTCCTCTTCTCTCCCTATTTTCTTTTTCTATTCTTCCTATCCTTCTCCCTTCCCCCCCCCCTCTCCTCCTCTTCTCTCTCTCTTCTCTTCTCTCTCCTCTCTCTCTCTCTCTCTCTCTCTCTCTCTCTCTCTCTCTCTCTCTCTCTCTCTTTTTCTACTATCCACTCTTTCCCCCTCTCTCTTTCTCCCAATTCTCATTACATTCTAGCCCAACCACAAACCAGCTTGGGAAGCGGCCGCTGATAGTCAGGACAGCTGAGAATCAACGGGGAAGTAAGACAGGAACTTGGGGAGAGAGAGGGGTGGGGGAGAGAGAAGGCAAGGAGGAGGAGGGGGAGGGGGAGGGGGAGGGGAGGGAGGAGGGGGGAGGGAGGAGGGAGGAGGGAGGGCGAGGGCGAGGGGATAAGAAAGGCCAGAAGCGCGAGAGATGGATGGTTTGGTGTCGAGAGACGGGGGGGAAGGGGAGGGGCATACACGGACCTTCCCCCCCTCCCTAAGGAAAAGGGAAGGAGGTGGGGAAGGGTATGGGGATGAAACTTAGGGGAGCCTCAAGCTATTCCGGAACCTAGGAAGTAGGTGACATGTTCTCCTTTTCGCCCGCATTCCTCTCTCTGTATCTCGTCTTTCCCCTTCCTTCGCATACTTTCCCCTCACCTCACATTACATCCTTCCCCTATACCTGCTCCCTACCCTGTTTCCAAGGACTTCTATTGCGCTTTTCCTTTCTTTCTTTCTTTCTTTCTCTCTCTCTTTCTTTCGTTCCTTCTTTCTTTCCTTACCTCTCTCCCCTTTTTTCTTCTCTCATCCTTCCCCTCGTCCACTCTTCACTGTCCTCGCTTCTCTCCATCTTTTAACCTTTCCAACCTGAAAAGCATTTCCCCGCCGCAGACCCTCTCTCTCGCCTTTAAAGTTTTATCTTTCTTGCAAGGAGCGAACTCTCCGTGCGTCTCTCTCTCTCTCTCTCTCTCTCTCTCTCTCTCTCACTCTCTCTCCTCTCTCATCTCTCTCTCTCTCTCTCTCTCTCTCTTCTCTCTCTGAATCACCCTCCCCTCTCCCCTCTCCCCTTCCTACCCTCTCCGCCCTATCCTCCTCTCTCTCTTCCCTCCTCTCTCTCTCTCTCTCTCTCTGCCTCTATCTTCCCAACCACCCTCCCTCCCTCCCCATCTCCTCTCTGTTCTCATCGTCTCTCTTCTCTCTCTCCTCTCTCCTCTCTCTCTTCTCTCTCTCTCTCTCTCTCTCATCTCTCTCTTCTCTCTCTCTCTGAATCACCCCCTCTCCCTCGCTCCCCATCTCTCTCTCTGTCTCTTCATATCCCTCTCTTTCTCTCTCTCTCCCTCCCTCCCTCTCTCTCTCCTCTCTCTCTCTTTTTCAGCGCCCTCTGCTACATTTATTGCCTCTCGCCTTCCCTCAGACTAACCTTTCTTTCTGCTACAGACGACGCGAAATGTATTTGTCTGTGTCTGGCCGTTTCTCTTTCCACTCCCTTCCTCTTGGTAATCAGATAGATGGATAGAAAGATGGAAATGGTAGAAAGAAAACAGAGACATACAGTAACACAGATACAGAGACACGATAAATAAACTAACATATAAATACACTACTGCCTATCTATCTATTTATCTATTATTAGGTTCTAATAACTTTACATCAGATAATCATGTAATAATGCATTCATACATATATGTATATACGCAACACACAAACATAACAAATAATATATATATATAATATATAATAATATATAATATATTATATATATATATATACTATATTAATATATATAATATACTTATATACTTATAATATATATATATATATATATATAATATATATATATAATATAATTATATATTATATATATTATATATATTATAATATATATATTATATATATATTATGTGGTGTGTGTGTGTGTATGTGTGTGTGTGTGATTTGTGTTGTATATTGTAATATGATAATAATTATATATATATATGTATATATATATAAATGTATGAATATATGTATATTAATATGATTTATATAATATAATAGATATTATATATACACGTATATATTATATATGATATATAATTATATATATATATATATATATTATATATCTATGTATATATCTATATATATAATATATATCATACGTAAAATATATATAATATATACATATTACATATATATATATATATACGTTTATACTTATATTTACTATAATTATTATATTATATATATACTATATATCTATTAATTGTATATGTATTAATATATATATATATATGTATATATATATATAATTATTAATATATTATAATATATACATATATATACATATATAGTATATATATAATTTATATATATATGTATAAATATGTAATAATGTATTAATATTATTATATATATATATATATTATTATTATAATATTTATATATGTTTATTATGTATGTTTGAGCGCGCGCGCCCGTGTGTGTGTTTATGCATGTATGTCTGTATGTATATGTATATATCTAAAGGATTTGTTGCTATTCACCAACGCACAGACACACACTAAGAAGTGTCGCTCCCGGTCGGGAAAGACAGACAGAAGCAGAGACTATATATAGTGACCTACACCCTCAACCGTACGCTAGTGTTTCCGAGACCAACAAGAGAAGCGCCACGGACATTAGTAACCGTCGCTGAGAGCAGAACAGATCTCATCATTTGCCATAATCTTCCGGCCCGGCGCCCTGCATTCAAAAAGCGCCTTGATTCACGCCGCAAAAATACCATGCGTTTATGTCATCGCCCGTGACCCAAAATAAGGCCTTACGAACCCGTCGGCCGTTTACCACGCCCGGCGGAAGGTAGATAATAGCAGGCAGTGCTCCTCCTCCTGCACCTGTTTATAACACTGATGTCAGGGTGGCAAGGCTCAACGCACCCCCCCTCCCCCTCCAGCCCCTGATCCTCCGCCTGGCGTGGCCCCCTGCTCCTCCCGCTGCCCCTTTCCCTTCCCCCCTTGTCCACCCCCCCCCTCTTCATCCTTAGCGCCAGAGGTGTAGTATGCGGGAGTCTAGCTAAGTTTAGATGAAATCCAACGAGCAACCTTGACAGTACGTAACGTTCACCGTGTATTGAAACACACTCGTCGTGAATGTGTAAACGCCGTGTTGCATATAAACACGATGATTAAGGTTTCCTTGCTGAGGTTACATGTAGAGAGTAGGGATAAGGAAAAAAAATCGCTTGAAAGAAACATACACATAAGCGCACAGGTTCACACAGAAAAGGCCGGAGGGATAGGGAAATAGAGGGTGAGTGGAAGGAACGGGAAGATGGGGAGGGAGAGAGGGATGAGGGAGAGAGAGAGAGGGAGAGAGGAGAGAGAGAGAGAGGGAGGGAGGGAGGGAGAGAGAGAGAGAGAGAGAGAGAGAGAGAGAGAGAGAGAGAGAGAGAGAGAGAGAGAGAGAGAGAGAGAGAGAGAGGGAGAGGGGAGGGGGGAGATGAGAGAGAGGGGGGGAGAGAGAGAGAGAGAGGAGGGGGAGATGAGAAGAGAGAGAGAGAGAGAGAGAGAGAGAGAGAGAGAGAGAGAGAGAGAGAGAGAGAGAGAGAGAGAGGAGAGAGAGGAGAGAGAGAGAGAAGAGAGAGAGAGAGAGAGAGAGAGAGAGAGAGAGAGAGAGAGAGAGAGAGAGAGAGAGAGGAGAGAGAGAGAGAGAGAGAGAGAGAGAGAGAGAGAGAAGAAAGAGATAGAGAGAGATGGGGAGAAGAGAGGTGTTGGGTCGTCCCGTGAGAAAAAAAAAAGATAGTGAGGAATGGAACCTAATAAAAGCCAAGTAGCTGTGTAAATACCATCTTGGAAAAGGGGGTGCGAATGGCCGCAGCCGTGTCGGTGAGCATCTCCTGTATGATGACGACATGCGGGCGTATTTACAACAGCTATGTTTTGTTAATGCTAAATGTACCGGGCAAGATCTCGTGTTTCAAATGCACCAGCGGAGCACCATGTATATGTTCATTGCCTGTGTGGTAGTTTTAAGCCTTTGAAGCGGAGTACATCTAGTATGATTCATTATCAACATCTCTGTTATCATCTTCCCTTATCATATGGTATTATGCGCCTTATTTCTGGCTTAGATTTAGACTGTCTATGGTCTTCATATAAAATAATCTCATATTTTCTCTTATTTCATTTTGCAATCTGGGTTTTTTATTGGATGTGTACATCAAAGTAAAAAAAAAATCTAAACATCTCTTGTCGCACAATGTGTTCCTTTAACATATATTGACATGAACATTTATACCGTGTCAGAAAACATGACTTTGTGCTGACTGCCAATAGATGAGCAATGCAAGACAAGCCTTATGTGGCGCCGTACGTTCTATTGTTTCATTAGTATGACCAAATCTCAGAACCTTTTTTTATACAGAGAACATCTTGAATTCACATTGTACTTTTCTTTCTATTTGTCTGAGGTAAAGAGAAAGGGGTG